TATCTCACAGACGTCAATGTCTAACGTTGTTTTGCCAGGACAAAAATGACCTTGGTCTAGAATGCATTGTATAAACAACTGCTGCTTTATGGAAAGGTTGGCCACTGTTTAAAAGCAGAATGGTTAGTTGGACAATGAAATAACACAACTGAGCTGTAATTGTCATGCAATTAAAAAAAAATGAGTTGCATTGATTTCCATACTGGGATTCATAGAAGCCAAAACTAGAGTCAGGATTGCAAAAAATTAAAATGAAAAAAGCTACAACTTTATTATCTGCCAATAGCTATTTGTTGGCTATGGTAAATGAAACAACTATGGGCCCCAAAACAGCCCTGAGAACCCCGAATTCACAGCCGGACCGCAGGGAGAGGACGAGCTGGTTTAACTGCGTGGGTTTTGGGTGTTTCCTTGGTCTTGGCTTCTGTGCCGGTGGCTTTAATATTCCACACTTGTGCTTTCCAGAGTCTGGTGGTTTTGGTGTTCCCCTTTTTCTCACCAGCCTGGCTGTGCACTTTGCTTTTCTTGCACACTCAAGGTGCTTTTACCATTGTCTCTCTCCCTCTGCCTTTCTCTGGGATGACTTCATTGGTATTCTTTTATATTTACCATCGGAACCATGAAACCTTCATTTTTGTCTCCAGGGTACCATGTTCTGGTGATGCTGGCGCTTTCCCATCACACACATATTATGAGAAGAATCTCATAGTAAACACAAGTCACACGTCTACTGTGTCAGTATTTCCGCGAGGCATGCTTACTGTAATTACGCCCCATACATCCTTATAGCCTACAATTCTTAGATTACAACTCTTTGAACAGCTTGGTCCACTTCCAGCTTTCCCATTTTCTACGCCTTTGTGGAATATTATTTTGCCAGTTCTTAAACAGTTAAATAGCGAATTCCAAAAATAAAGACTGCCTGAGGCAGTTGCCTGATGCAATCTTCGACTTGGAGAGTGTGTACGAGGGGGTTTTCTGAAGCTGTGTCAACACACACAAACTGTTTTCTAAGTATTTCTTCCCTTTCAAACTTTTAAAAGCAAAACCCTTTTTTCGTAAAATGAAAATTGAATTTAAAATGGCTGCTTGTCTTGGAAAGTAGCTGAATGGTCTGTGTCAATGAGCGCCGTTTTGTAACCTGACGACTGGCTTCTTCAACCAACAGCCAGAAGCTTGTGTACTTGATCTTGGCTATTTCTATATCATAATCTGACTCTTTATGTTGAAATTAACTGTTTTCCAGTCTTTCCCACTAGCCTGAGCTCTTTGAGTGCAGTCTGTAGGAGCTCAGCACAGACTTGTTGAACTAGAAACTGACCCTTAGGAAATTAAAGACCAGAATCTTCTTATGATGGTGTTAAAGACAGTGATAATGAAGTAATATGGGGTTTGGGTTTTGGTAATAATCTCTGTGACAATATTTCAAGAGGAAAATGGTGCTTTCTTAGTCCCATGGGATGTCATGGTCCAGATGAAGTGCCTTTAATTAAACTCATCCTCTGTGGCTGCTGTGACCAGGTCCAACACTGGCCAGTCTGAAGAGCTCTGTTCTTTCCTCGAGGAATCAGAGGAAGAGCTAGCCATGGAGGACAGCCCCACGATGGTGAAAGTGGACCAGGGAGGAAATCAGAGTTCACCGCGTCAGGCGAGAAGATGCCTCCCCAAGGCGCTTGGCTACGTCACTGGCGATATGAAAGAACTGGCCAACTGGCTTAAAGGTACTTATGCTTCCATCCCTTGGAGAAGTGGCCCTGGGGGAAATGGTTTGCTGGTTCTACTCATGTCTTTAGTTATATTCCCCTACCTTCTACCTGTCTCTTTCCTCCCCATTTTTTAACTTCTTATCTTCTAATTGCAAACTTATTCAAAAAAAAATTTTTAATGGAGACAGTGGTCAGTGCCAGGGCCTTGTTCATATCAGAGGAAGGCCCCTGGTTCCGCCTTGTAACTTCCATACTTAAAAACTGAAATTTTGCTTCTGGCAATTCATTCTTCTGGCTTAGGGGTCTGAATCTCTAAGCATGGTAAGTAAGTGCATTCAACTACTCAGCCATAAAAAAGAATGAAAGAATGCATTGGTAGCAACACAGATGGACCTAGAGGTTATTATACTAAGTTTAGTAAGTCAGACAGAGGAAGACAAATGCCATATGATATCACTTATATGTGGAATCTAAAATATGATACAAATAAACTTATTTAGAAAACAGAAATAGACTTGCAGACATAGAAAATAAACTTACGGTTATCAAAGGGGAAAGGGGAGAGAGGTATAAATTAGGACTTTGGGATTAGCAGATAACAAACTCCTGTATATAAAATAGATAAACAACAAGGTCCTGCTGTATAGCACAGGGAACTATATTCAATATTTGTAATAAGCCATAATGGAAAAGAAAAAAAAGAATGAATCATTCAATGATTATTTTAAGTTACCATAAAAAATAAGTGCATTCAATGCTTTCTGGGACTTAGGTTCTAACAGGGGCAGTATGGATTGGGCACAAAGAAACTGGATGCTTTCGGGGATCTGGGTGACATTAGAGGGGAAACAGTTCAGAGAAAAAGCTTCAAGGAACATCAGAAATTAGCGTCACCTTCATCAGAGGGGATTTTGCTCAGGGTGCGCCTTGGACTTGGGAAGGAGCGCCGTTTGCCTCGCCATTTCCATAGCTCTGCCCACTTCATCTCTTCCAGACAAACCGAAGATGCTCCAGTTCGTCAACTGGGTTCTTCGGGGCATATCCCAAGTGGTGTTTGTCAGCAACCCCATCAGCGGAATCCTGATTCTGGTGGGACTCCTGGTCCAGAACCCCTGGTGGGCTCTCAATGGCTGTGTGGGAGCGGTGGTCTCCACCCTGGCGGCCCTCTTACTCAGTCAGGACAGGTAGGCACGTCCATCCAAGCCTGCGTGTCTCGCTTCTGAGAACACAGGAGCCAACCAGCGACTTCAGGCAGCAGAGATAAAGCCCCACCCTGCCTAGGAGAATCAACCTTTATTCCACAGAATGCTTTATATTTGCCTTTAGTCAGAGGTCAGGAAATCATTTATAGCGTCGGACTCGTGGTACCTGAATAAGCGGCCAGCAAGAATGATGCCAGGTTTCCATGGCGACCAGAACTAAGCTATAAGTAATTCCCAGGGGAGTTTCCAAAGGGTTCTTCTTTAATGATTGATCCATTATTTACCATCAGCATTTTGTTTGTTTGGGCAAAAATGCACATGAGCTCAGGAAAAGTTTTAGTGGCTTAAAAATCTCACTAATTCCATTATATCGTATTTCCATGCTTAGTTTAGCAAATTCATTCTTCACAGACAATGCAAAAGTTGAGATAAACTGCCACAAATTTTAAGTAAGCAAATTCTGACTTCAGAAATGTTAATGGAATGTTTCTACACTGTGGATTAGGTTAAAAATAGAATGTTCTTTATAAATTGATTTGCCAATAAAGAAGTGATGAGCTGACTCCCAGCAGGGGATTCTCCCAACTAACAAGTTCCTTCAGGGAGCCTGCCAGTCTTCTAGACGCCCAGGGTCCATGCATAATCCCCAGTGGATGGTCATTACACAGCTAAGCTCCTGTAACTCTCACTGTCAATTGCCTACGGAGATTCTTGGGGGGAGAGTCAGAAAACGCTCCACTTCCCCATCAGGTCTAAGGAGCCTGAATTGTTCTCTGTAGAAGGTGATACTGCATCTCAGATCACATCCTTTTCTAATGCACATCGAGAAACAGTCTGCCCAGCTTGGAGAAGTCCAGGATTGTATCATAGCACATCTTCTTCACTGTTTTGCCCCAGTAGAAGTTGACCCATTTTCCTTATC